GAGACTTGTCCAAGGTCACACCGCCTGCAATCCTTGGGCGAGAGGAGGGGCAGGGTGCGCCCTGGGCCCGCCAGCCTTTGTGCTGGCCTTGTGGCTGGGCTCCCAGACATTAGCATTCCAAAGGCTGCAGGGAGGCTTTGTCCTCCCTCCACGGCCGGCTGGGGGTTGGGGTGGGATGGGGGCAGGGCACCATAAATCTACCTGCTTGTGTGTTCCTCGGGGCCGGGGTGGGGGTGGGGCAGGGGAGCCACAAGATTCATGTGCTGTTTTTCTGGGACTCCCGCTTGGGCTCAGACAAAGGCATGAGATGGGGAAGAGGCATCCGACCCAAGGGTCTTTCCTGTCCCAACTGGGGCTTCTGTCTGGGTTTCAGGGAGCTGAGGTGCAGACAGTGGTGGTGACTTTAGATCGCAGGCAGCCAGAGTGGCCCCAGGCCGGGGCGGGGGGGGGGGGGGGGACGGGACAGAGACCTGGAGTAATCCAGCTGGGTTAAAAAGCTGCTCAATGCAGAATGCTCAGGAGGTGGTGGTGTCAGGCTTGACACCCTATTTCCTATGCCTTCCATGGAAGGGCTCTCTTAGGAAAGAGGCAGGGCCAAGGTTTCCAGCTCAGTGCTATTTCCTACTCATCAGTGGAGGTTGTCCAGGGCACCAAGCCCTAAACTAAACCTAAACTTTCCTCCAGCTCCTCCTGACCTGGAGAGTGGGGCTGAGAGCTCTGACATCAACCCAAAGCAACAGCCCAGCAGCCGAGTTGCTCTGACTGTACCTGTGTGTTTTAATTTGCCGGGCGGAGAACCAGCCTGTGTGTGTTGGATGACTAATGGCTCATTGATGAGTGCCCTGGAAAGCAGGAGAGGGGCTGAGCAAAGGCCTCAGCTGCCTGAGTTGCTGGAAGCCTAGAGAGAGTGCCCACAGTCACTCCACCAACTTCAGGGGCTCCCCGCCTACCTGAGTGCCACTTCCGGCAGCCCTGCAAAGGATGAAGGTCTCCCTGCTTGAGAGATTCCTCCCTAAACCTCGAGTCCTAGCCCCAGGGCCACCCCCTTGGCAAATCTTTGGCAACCAAGCCCAGGTAACAGACCTCTGCCTAGCACCAATACTGCTTTGGCTTTGAGTCATTTGGTCTACATCCATGCTACTGCCCCTGGAGGGCAGAGATCACGCTGATTTTTACCTCTGCCCACACCCTGCCCCCACCCCCACCAACAAGTAGCAGGCACAGGCCCGGTCTGGGCAGCTGACACCTGCCCCCAGGCGGTGCCCCAGATGGAACACTGGCTGTTGCACAGGTCACTAATAACCCATTAATCTCCTCCTCTTAGATTAAAGCCCTGAAATGAAACAACACCTCTGTTCATTCTTTGTTTGCTGTGTCCCCATTCCCACCCCTTAACTGAGACAAATCTATGAGCTACCTTTAGGGACCTGAGAGTAGAGGAAAGGAGCAGTTGAATATGAACTGGGGAGGTGGCCTAGGAGAAAGAGAGGCCAGAGGTGGCGATGCCTGGAAAGCTGCCTGTCCTCCATCATTGGACCCCAGGCAGCTCTGCCCCTACCAGAGTTGCCCCATTTCTTCACAGCATTCCTAGGTGAACCCAAGGAGACCTCTCAGGTTCAACTAGCAGGTAGGGCACCGCCCCCCCCCCCCCATCTAGTTTCCTTTTCCCAAGAGTCAAACGGACTCTGCCAATTCCCGCAGTGCACACCAGCTTCCTTGAGGCCTTAAGGGTCCCAAAAGCCCTGGGAGAGGGCGTTCCAGTAGCGCCCTGGGGACTGGTTTGGTGCCGGTGGGGAACCAGCCCCATTATCCCTGGTAAGGGCACGAGAGAGATCGCGGGGCTGGCAACCTCGAACCGTTTCTCAATAAAATTTCAGTCCAGGCAGCCAAGTGTCCAGGGGGCGCCAGAGGTTTCAGCTGGACCCTCTGTCTTTTCCACTGCCCATTACGCAGCTCCATGAATTGAGAGGCTGCCTGCCGCAGCAGTGCCTGGTGCGTAAAATGCGCTTAGGGGGATGAGCTACGCCTTGAAGCGCCTGGGGAAGATTCCTGGGATGCCCAACCCAGCGGTGGTGTTTCTGAGGACTCTCCCCCTTCTCAAGTACAAGTCAATCCAAGGCCAGGCTGGCAGCACAGGGGAGAGCGCCCTCTGGTCGCTAGTCTTTATGCTAAACCATGTTTTGAAATTAGACAACTCGCTGCCCCACAAAGAAAACAAGGGGGCTGGGCCAATGATCTCTTAAGTGACTCCAGCTTTCGGAATGCAACCCCCCTGGCCTCCAGCCCAGCGCCCACGGGAGGGACCCCTTCTTCAGCCACACCGGCTGCAGCCCTCCCCTCTTGGCAGCACAACTGAGCTTGCTGAGGTGTCCTGAGGATTTTGTTTTTATTGATTCAAAAGTTCATTCACCAGTCCCTAAATACTCTTATGTACAAAATATAGACTTTTGCTGCTGTGAAATCGCATAATAAATACAAGTGTGTAGAACAAGGGAAAGGCTATATAATTTACCATACCAAAACTCATTCCAAAAGGCATCACATGATTTACAAATTGATTTCTTTTTTAAGGGACGCGCGGGGCTCCAGGCACCTGCTGCTCCAACTCACGTGTCCTGCGCAGGAGGCAAGGAGGCTGGAAAGGTGGTCCCGGCGACCGGCTGGCTGGCTGGTGCTTTCCCAGTTCACAGCCTGGTCTCCAGCGCCTGGGAGGGCAATGGCTTCGAAAAGTGCAAGAGGAGAAGGCAGGGGCTCGCCCTCCAAAATTGAGGCGGTGTGGGGCAGCTCCAGACCCCGGACTGGATGCGGGTAGAAGAAGTAAGCGCGGTGTGGGGCAGCTCCAGACCCCGGACTGGATGCGGGTAGAAGAAGTAAGCGGTGTCTTTGGAGTAGGGTGGGGGTTGGGGGAGCAAGCACCGAGAGACCACATGTGGGGTTCAGTTACACTGTGAGAGGGGTGGGCATGAGTGAGAGTAGGGTGATCGGGCCGCGGGGGGGGGGGGGGGCTGCGGGGGCGTGGTGCTACCATCCTCCTCTTCTCTGAGCGAGGTGCGGGAGTGGGTGCTGGGAGAAGGACCTGAGCCATGCTCGAGCCCGCAATGCCGGCCTTGTGTGCGGCGGCAGGGGTTTTCGAGGCGCGGAGGGCCTGCTGCCAGCCTGATGGAACCCAGCCTGCCGCCCCGCGGGCGCCTTGGCCGGTCAGGAGCAGGAGGCGCAAGTCTGTTTGAGGGCCGCCACTGCCCACCCGCAGTCGCTCCGCCTGCCTCCTCTCCCAGTACCCTCTGCCCAGCAACCGAGTGGCCACTTCACAGAAAGTCTGAGAAAGCCAAGGCGCCTGGGCGCAGGCAGGCGGGGGAGCTGGGCACCGGAAGCCCAGTGCGCTCCTCCGGCGAGGCGGCGGGGCTCAGACTGCCAGCCTGGGAGACTGGAGAATAGAGAGAGCCCCAGTCCCCGGGGGAGCCGCCGTCAGGGCTGCCCAGCTCCGCAGAGGGCAGCACTGGCTGCTCTGGCCCGTAGAAGCTGTGGTCGGCTATGCGCAGCGCCTGCGTCAGCGCCCAGATGTAGTTGTGGGCGAAGCGCAGCGTCTCGATCTTGGTGAGCTTCGCGTCGTCGGGGAATGTGGGCAGGACTCCGCGCAGCGCGTCCAGCGCGGAGTTGAGGTTGTGCATGCGATTGCGCTCGCGGTCGTTGGCTTTCTTGCGCCGACTCCGTCGCTGCTTGCTCAGCGCCAGCTCGCTCTTGGGCCGGCTGCGCCCCCCGCGCCGCGCCCGGAGTTTCCTCGCTGCCCCTCGGCAGCCGCCTCCTTCAGCTTCCGCGCAGTCCCGGAGCATAAGTGTGGGGCTAGGCGGGGCGGACAAGGCGCTGGGCACTTCGCGGTCCGAAGCTCCGGGGAAGGGTGGCTCGGTCTCATGGGTCGCTCGGAGAGTGGGCGCACCCAAAGGATGAGGCACCATCCTGCCGCAGGGTAAGAACTAACGGTAAGAATGGGACAGTGACCTAGGGCGGTCCCCGATCCCGAGGCCAGGTGGGGGAAAACTGAAAAACACCCCCTCCCGATCCGAGGGCCCCCAGTACCCTCGCTCGCCCCTCGGTGGCCTCCAAGTGTTACCTTGTTGTGCAGGCGCAAATAGAGAGCCGTGAGCAGCGGGGAGCTGAGCGCTCCTTTCTCCGGCCAAGTTCAGCTGAGCTGCAAGCGCCCCTGCCTGGGAATTGCCCCAGCCTCCGAGGAGAAGAGGAGAGTGAAGGGGGTCCCGGGTCTCTTTCGCTGTCTTTCAGCCGGCAGAGACCGCGGGGCTTGTCTGAGCTGCGAGGCGTGTGCCCCTTGGCACGCTTTATCCGTTCGGCCTGGGCCAGGAGCGTGCCGGCCCGACTGCTGCCCGCGCCACCGGCCAATCAGCGCAGGGGCCCGGGGCCCGCGCCACGCGAGCCCGCTCCTCCCCCGCGGGGCACAGCTGGATTCCGGACAAAGGACCGGGGCCGAGGGGAGGGGAGCGCTGCTCTGTTTGCTCTCTCCCCGCGGGCTCGGTCCCAGCAACTCTCGGCTCCTCAAAGAGCCTCGCCTAGCGAGAAGAGGCTCGTCTGGCTCGCCTCCCGCTGCCCTAGACCGCTTTGCTCCTATCCCGTCTTTCCTCGGCATCTCTCCAGACCCTCTCGGCAACCCTAGGAGGCCTGCGGGCAAGGCCAGTTCCCGCGTGTTACACAAGGGGCAATGGAGGCACGGAGGGCCAGTCGGCTCGCCCGGAAGTGCACGGCAAGATGGTGCCTGGACGCTTGAGTAGCCGGGTGTCCAAAAGGTTACCCTGCCCTCCTGCCCCACGGGTCCTAGGGTGGCGCTGCAGGGACTCTATCGGGGAGTTAGATTGGTCTATGCCCCTTCCATTCAGAGCCCTGGGGAGGGGGGTCCGAGCCCCTGCCCCTCCCTGAGTTGCGCTTCTCATCCCCATCTGGGGGGCTCAGACATTTTGTCACCCCCTCCTCCAGACTCCCATCCCCTACTGATATTTTGCCATTCCCACTCATAGACAGTAACCTAGCACTCTGACCAGGGCCTGGGTGCCCAGAGCTGGGGGTGGGGAGTGTGAGAGGTCCAGAGGGGGCCAGGCGTTCTTGGCAAGCCTTGGGTCTTGCTAATGCACGGGTGTTCTGGCACTGGGATAAGGGGATCAGCCGTGTCTCACTTTAGTCCCCCACTCCCACTCCTGCCAACCACAGGGGGCAAGGGCTGCCTATTTCACCTGGCTCGGCTCCCTGTGGAGCATCACACAGGGGTTTCCGGCAGCACTGGGCAGGGACTGTCCAAAGCCTTCGCCTGCCTGTCTGCAGGTCTGGAAGTCTTTCCAGAGTGCCTCTTCCCTCTTTACCCCTCCCTTCCCTGCCTCAGACACTCTTCTGCTTCTAGTCACTCAGGGAGAGAGGGGTTGCTGCTTCCATACCTCTCTCTTGACCAGGATGTGCCTGGGAAGGAAGCTGAGGTCGGAGATTCAGTCTCCCAGGTGGTGAAAGGCTTCCATTTCTAGCAGGTGCAGGTACCTTGGGCCTTGCCGAATCTGCAGGAAGCAGGCCACAGGACCCAGCTGACTGGAGATCCGATGAGGGGGTGATATAGGTCTTCAGGGTCTGCCCTGTTGTCAGCCTCCCACCACCCAGGCTGCATGGTGGGTGAAATTCTCTCCAAAACAGAGGGTGTGATGCTTGGGGGCCGGTGGGTGAGGCAGGCTGCAGGATTGGGCAGGGGTCTCACAGTTCCTGTGGATCTCAGCTGATGGGCTGGGAGCAGAGGCACCTACCCTTGCTGCCTGGAAATGAAGTTTGGGGTCAGGGTAGGAGCCATCAAAGGGACCAGAAGGGATTTTTGGCTCAGCATTTTTGCTGTGGCTCCTCCCTTAGGTCAGGACTTGGCACAAGCTTGTCTGTCATAATGAAAACTGGAGGTCCCCTTTACAGATGGGAAAATCAAGGCCAGGGGAAGGGTGCCTCAGGTCATACAGCTTATTCTATCAGAACCACATAGAACTTAACATCCTGACTCCTAGTCCTGGATGTTTCCCTTGCGCAGGCTGCTTTTCTTAATTTGGAGGAAAATGTTTTCTCAAGGCAAGAGAGACCTCAGAGGGAGTCCTGAGTGTGTGAAGACTGATGGGATTGGATTGGACTGGAAAAAATTAATGGCCCCCATCTCCCAGCCAAGGAGAGGTGGTTGCACACACACTCGTCTTGTCTTTCCACTTTCCTGCAGGATTTAGAGCCTTGAAAACTAGGGTCTGGGAGAGGACCCCAAAGCCTGTTCCTAGGACCCCTGGTCCCCTCCAGGCTCCTTTGAGGGAGCCCTGACCACGAGGGACTCAAGCACCCTTGTGAGTCCCTGGAGAATTGAAGAGCAGGCCACAGCTGAGACTCTGATATAGAGGTGGAGTTGCGAGAACATGGCCTAATGGGTACTGGCCAGAGCCACAGGGAGGCTGCCTGCGCCTGAGAGGATTCTGGGATTCTTTGGGGTTGTCTTGATTATAGAGGATTCTGAGACCCGCCTGGAATTCTAATCCAGCTTCCCCATTACTCCTTCAGCTCAGAGCCCTCTAGGGCTCTCAGGCCGCCACCACTCCTCTTTGCGCAAAAAGCAGTTAGGAAGAGGCGCGCGCCGCGGCGGAATCAGCTGCCTCCCTGCAGAGGCAAGGATGCGCGCCGCTCTCGCTCCGGCCAGGAAGTGGGGGCGGAGGTCGAAGAGTCCCTGGAGATTCGAAATTGGTAATCAACGCCCTCCCTCTTGGCTGCCGGGGACGTACAGACCCCTATCCAAAGTTAATTCCTGAGCTTTTGGCGGCGGAGGCGCAAATGGTTACCGCTCCGTGCGCCCTGGCTATGTTTGTAAAACCGCTGGTCCCGCCCGGAGCAGAGCCCGTTCCCGCAGCTCCTAGTCATCCACCGCCTCCAGGAACCCCGCGCCCCTCGATTCCTTCGGAACTAGGCTTGCTTGGAGGATGAAAGGGTCCAAGAGAGAGGCGACAGCCAGGCGCCTGGAGAACGCGGGCAGATTGGAAAAGAAGGAAGGCAGCGGCTGCTCCTACCGCCTTCCCGTCGGCAGGGGAGGGGGGTCTTAGCACTGCCTGGGGGCTCTTTGAGAACGGAGTGGGGAGGGAGGGGGGCCGCAGGAAGCTGAATAGCTAGTGGCTTGCCAGAGAAGGGGGCTTCTTTCTCTCGCCTTCGCCTCGGCACTGAAAGAGGAGAAGACAAAAATCTGGCGAGCGAGCTGCCCGGGCCGAGACGGGCCACTTCAAACAGCCCTTCAAACAAAAGGAGACGGCGAAAAGAAAGCCCCACCTGTCTCCAGTGTTTGCTAAAATAATAATAAATAGATTTCGTTTAATAAATAATTACAAGAGATTGTAAAGTGGAGTGCTTTGGAAAACATCTAGCGCGGGAGTCTGCACAGCCAGCCGTCACCTGCTCCCAAGGCGGACAAGTTTATTGTTAAGCCACCCCCCAACTAGTTCTCCTCTGATAAACTCTCCCTCGTTTTCACAATGACTGTTTACTCATAGTTAGCACAATATTACCTTTGCCGTGATAAACCCGGAGGGGGAGACCTGGCCCCTGGCCCCTGGGCACACCTGTCTCAGAAGCTGACACATGGATTTGGCACCGAGAAGGTTTCCCCCCGGCCCTGCCCCCGTGTACATTGGCCCAATTGCCACTCATTTATAACAGGTTGGCTGCAAGGCCTATCTCGGTCCTATTTGTCTTCTTTTATTGAAAGCATATGGTCTCCAGGGGCTTACCAGCCCCATATTTCATCTGCCAGGAGCCGGGGCGCTTCCGCAGCCTGGTGTTGCCCAGCGCGCTGCTCCCCACCCAACGGCTGCTGTGCCAGCTGAGGGGGTGGCAGAGCCTGGGTGGGGAGTGAGCAGCGCGGTGGGCTTCTCCCTGGTTTTGGGACAGAAGCCATTCCCTAAGGGACTCCCCCTCCCCAGGCCGGGAGACCTCGTGCGCTCTTGAATAGGTGGCTGGTTCTTTTTCTTGGGTAGGTGAGAGGGCGCCATATGCCACCCCCCAGGGCGCACGAGGGAGCCCCGGCCCAGGGAGTCCCCAAACAAAGGGAGGAGAGGGCCCGGGCGCTTGGGAGCGCCGGAGGTCTTTCTTTCTAGATTCCCCCCTCCCTGCCCAGAGCCGCCTCCCCCGGTGTCCGCAGCTCGCGCGCAGCGCCTGGAAACAAAGTCTCCACATTATCTCCGCCGCCCGCGGAGACCGTGAATGCGTGAAAAGGTGCATTGCGCACTGAGACACCTGTTGAAGCGGCGCCTCTTCTCAGCGCCTCTCTCCACTCTGCGCCCGCTCAGGAGCTGCGCGGGGAGTGGGGGTGGGAGGAGGGAGAGCTACTGTGATTTGTGGCGACATATGTTGAGCAGATCGGTGTGTACTCTTCACAGGGGCACACGCACCCTCGCTCCCATACACACCCGGCGAGAAGGAGCAGCTGCGCTCCTCACCTTCTCCCGACATAATACCTGGGCCAGGCGCTTTGGCCTCGCCTTTTGAGACTCCAGCTAACCCCCACCCCCTCGCTCTTCCGCCCCCACCCGCCGCCCCAATCTGGGCCGCGTCAAAGTCGGATTTTTATTGTCAAGTTTAACAGATGCACGTCTGTTCCCAACGCCCGCCCTCAAACACACATACACACACTCAGGCATCCTCAGAAAATGCGACCCATGCCACAGACGCGGAGCGCGAGATGCCCATATGTTCTGCTCCGCGCCCTCTCGGGCTGAAAAGGCAAACGGGCTGTGTGATTTTCCCTCCCCAGAGAGAATTAAACAGCGGAAGTCGGCAGGGGCGGGGGCCTCTAGTCCCCTCTAAAACTGGCGCTTGCCCTTTCGGCGCGGTGGCGCAGTGCGGGGCGCGCGGCGCCGGCTGCCCAGAGAACGCATGGCTGCGAAGGCAGAGCGCAGAGCGAAAGGGCACCGGGCGGCAGCCCCTGCGCTGGGTGGAGAGGGGCGGAGAGGGGCGCTAGGTCTGGAGGTGCCCGCTGGGTGAAGACACCTGGCTCTTGCGGGGATTCCCGGCACTTGGTGTCCCCGTGAGGCCTCCCAGGAGTTCGTTTGGCACACTTCTTTCTCCTGCCCACTTGCGCCCTTGCCCGTGGGAAGTAAGTTTCCAGAGCTGGACTTCAGTGACGATGCCACGGGAAAAGGACTGGATGTGTGTGTGTGTGTGTGTGTGTGTGTGTGTGTGTGTGTGTAGTGGGCAAGCTGGGGTGGAGGCCTGGCTTTTCCACAACCCCTGTGCCACTGGAAGCAGCTTGCTTGTTCTCTCTGGACCTGGCTTTCCCAGCAATTAAAGGCGGGTGGTGGGAGGATACTTTGTAATTCTCTTTTCAGGTTTGCAAAATTTAGACCGATTGGCCCCAGAAGGAAGGGGATCCCTCCTCTCCAGTGCGCACTCACTCTTTCCCTGGGTCTGAGTTTCTCAGCAAGGAGTCTGTCAGCAGCGGTAGCAGTAGGATGGTAGTGGGGGAAAACAGGTTTGGTTCTGTGGTTTAAAAGTTGGTCCTCTGCCCCCTTCATCTTTCAACTCCTGCAGCAGCTGCACTCATGGGCCACTGTGACACTGAGGGACAGGTCAGGCACGCCTTTCAGACTTTCCTTTCTCCAGGGCTGGGCTGGAGCAGGGAAGCTGGGAGGTGGGTTTGAGGCTCTTGAGCCCCTTCCTCTCTCCCGGTCTGTTTCTGGAATGTGTCCCACGTCCCAGCAATGGGGGACCTCTCTCTCTCTCTCTCTCTCTCTCTCTCTTTCTCTCTCTCTCTCTCTCTTTCTCTTTCTCTCTCTCTGTCCCCCCCCCCCACCTCACCCCCGCCCCGGTCTTTCTGCCTTTCAATTTTTTTAAAAAGTGAAGTGGATAGATTTCCTCCAACTCTTATGCCAAACTCATAGCAATTCTGAGACTCCTTGGT